GTTGGTCAGTGGGATCCCATAGACTTCCTCCCTAAACGTTACAGGCCACTGCTCTTGGTTACCCTCCAGAATTTGACAGTAATAAGGTATTGCTTAACACAATGCATACTTGAGCCCTAGACTATGGAGAATTCGAGTGGTACCAAGCTGGAAGCTTCATCCCTACTGGCTAGCCTCCATGGTGCTGGAGAACTCTGTGCATATTACCAGGGGAGAAAAGAAATCAATCGCTTTACACGGCTGTGAACCTTTTGGCTACAATAAGGATTGGCCTGGCAAGACAGCCAAGTGCCGCTAGTGTAATAGTGGCATGAATATTATGGGACTGTGCTTGTTACTTTTTGTCAACCTAGACGCATGTGGGAAAGGGTAATCTCAATTCAGGAGTCGCCCCCATCAAATCGTCCTCTAAGGGCATTTTCTTGTGTAGAGGTTGGTGTGAGGCCTGTGAAGAGACCCCCTGGGCAGGTGCCTCTGGGTTGCATAAGAAAGCAGGCTGAGCAAGCCAATAGCAACGTTCATAAGAAAGTAGTCTGAGCAAGCCAATAGCAACATTCCTCCAGGGTCCCTGCTTCAGTTCCTGCCCTAAGTTCCTGTCTGTAGACTCCTGCCTTGGCTTCCCTCAGTGGATTATGACCCAGGGTTTGAAAACCAAATAAACCCTTTCATCCCCAAATTGCTTTAGGCCATGGTGCTTTGCCAGAGCAATAGAAACCTAAGACAGAGGACAACTACCACTTCCTTCTTGCAGTAAAGGTCTGGTCCACAAGATGAAATTCATGTCTAGTACTGTTAACTGGGTCGAGATTCTTGTAGCTAGGTAGGTCATGGGCCCAAGGGGAATATCTACTACTACTAGTCTACTAGGTGGGCATTGAATTAAATTTCTTTCTAAGTTCTGAACTCTACACCCATAGACTAGTTCATCTCTCAATCCTCATCAGAGGTGCTTCCTTTTAAGTAGATGATCTATAAAGAGACTGGGCATGCTCAGCTCCAAATGAGACATCTTCTCTACGTACTTCCTCTCAAGGTTCAGGGATCATACAGAACAGGAAATGGAAAGATGGCGAGAGCTAGAGGAAATGGGAAACTGTTTTCTGGACGTGACAGCACTGTCACTCGTATGAACTCACAGCCTCTACAACAGCAAGCACCAACACTTCTCACTCTGAAAAGATTATTTCCATAATGAATCCTGGTAAAAATTTCTCTAAAGGTAAATGTTTTAGGCTCTGTGGATTATATCCCCTTATCACTTCTCTATATTCTGTGAGTAACAAGAGAGCAGGATTGTGTTCAACAAGATTTATAGCAGAGAGATGGTTCCATGTGTAAAGTCACTTGCTGGGAATCCTGTGAGCTACATTCATCCCTAGGATCCACATGGAGAATCCAACCCCCTGCCCCCATCCCTACCCCTACCCCCCACCCCCACAAGCAATTCTGACTTCAGCACAATCATGCTGTGGCATGTACACACACACACACACACACACACACACACACACACACCTCTTAAATGAATTTATGGTAATAACTATGTGTTATTATCATATATGTTCAAGTAGGCCATAACTTGAACATAACTCATGCCTCAGATTGAGGGTGGGAAGGTGGGCAGCAGTTAGGAGGTAGCTAGAGAGACAAACAAAAATCTCTCCTGAAGAACCACAGGGAGCCAGTTGTCAGGATCCCTCCTAGGAAGGGAAGTACAGGGAGTAAAACAGACTCTTTGCTCTCAGCTTTCTTGGATCATGCGATTTTGGAGCCCTAAAACCTCACTACAGATTCAAAAAAGAAAAATCAGTCAGGAGGGCAGAGGGGTGTAGCTCAGTGGTAGGGTGTCAGCAAGCCTTGGATTCCATTCCTGGCGAAGGAGAGAGAGAAAGAGGGAGAGAGGGAAGGAAGGTGGGAGGGGAGAGGGAAGGAGGAAAGGAAGGAACCTCAATAAGGGAACTCATTTTCCTAGCTTTTAAAGAAGCTGTGAGACAGGGAGTTCCCCCTGAGGCCTTTACCGGGATTCATCAAGCTGGACCACACTCTGCCCGAAGCCTCTTGCATTCTCTTGGAAGGTCATGGGATTTTCAGTATCCAGATTGAATCCATGACACAAGGCTAGGACTAGAAGGATAACACGGAGGAGTCAAAGCAAAGGAACCCACATGGGTAAGAGACCACCAGCACATCCTTCCACCATCGCCTCCCTGACACATTCACTGCAACTCCACAGCCGGGGCACTTGCCCTTTCGGCTTTCGAGCAGTGCCGGGCAGCCTAGAACGCCACAGTGTCAGTTTAACTCTGGGTGACCGAGGCCTCCCCATCCTCTCGCCTTCACTCTACCTCCCAAACGTGGGGTGCAGGGCTGGGCCTCCACACCACAGTCCGTTCTCTTTTTCTACAGAGGACCGGAGAGCTAAGCAGAACCCAGCACTGGGGAGGCAGAGGCAAAAGCAGTGCCACGAGTTTGAGCCCAGCCTAGTCTCAGTAGTGAGTTCCAGACCAGTCAGGGCTACATGGTAAGACTGTGGAGGGAAAGCTTTTCTGGACAGGGTCTCACACAGCCTAGGCTGGCCCAGAACTCCTTATTTAGCTGACGATAATCTCGAACCCCTGATCCTCCTGCCTCCACCTCCCACTGCTAGAACTACAGGTTTGTGCCACCCCGCCCAGGGTGACTGGGTGTTAGGGATCAAATCTAAGGCTTTATACATGCTAGGCAAGCCCCAGGCCTTGTTTCTACCAATTTTTCAGCAAGAAAATTCAAACTGTAATCAGTTATCACTATTTTTTTTTTAGAGACAGGGTTTCTCTGTGTAACTTTGGAGGCTGTCCTGGAACTCGCTCTTGTATACCAGGCTGGTCTCGAACTCACAGAGATCTGCCTGCCTCTGCCTCCCGAGTGCTGGTATTAAAGGCATGCACCACCAATGCCCGACCAGTTATGACAATTTTTATATTTTTATGATACAAGTTTACTCATGAGATGGATGACATTCTTGAGGAGTGACATTTCCCTTGACTGGGAGTAAAGTTAGTATCCTCTGTCACCAATGGATGTCAAAATGGGTAACAGCTACATTAACCCATAGGCTAAGGGTGCTGACTCACAGCCCACGGGTCTATAAAAGCCTATCGTGGGGAAACCAGTCCCTCACTGAGCCCACAGCCCGCTACTCCCCTGTTACAACCACAACGATTTACACAACAATCAAAGGCCAAGAAATTTTCCTTCCTCTGCAATTCTCAAGCAGTTCCTTCCCTTCTTGACTCACTCCCTACAAAGCAGACAAGAAAGGAAATGAACTCAAACCACTTTTTTTCCCAACGTCACTCAGCAAACATTCGCACCAGGTCCTGGTTAACTAACTTAAGGCTAAGTAGGAAAGGTAAGTGAAACACAGGAGAAGACATTCTGGACAGAGGCCGCACCTGCTGTGCTCCCCGGTGCTGGGCCTTCTTCTCTCCGGGCCTCAGCAGCTTGTCTATGACAAACGTCCTTGCAAAGCAATGGATTTAGTCCTTCACCCACAACTCCCTGACCATCCCTCCTGTCTACCTCCACTCTGCTTCTCGTCGCATCGTCCAGTCTTCCCTAAAGCCCTTCGCCTCTCCCCACCTACTCCTTCCCCTTCTCTGTCCTCCTCCTCTTCTGACCCCCACTGGCACTGCACAGACGGTGCATAGACAGGCATGAAGATAAAACATCCACACACATAAAATAAATAAATCTCTTAAAAAAAATAGCCAAGTTGGTCCAGCAAGGTGGCTCAGTGGATAAAGGGGCTTGCCATTAAACACTGAGTACCTGAGTTCAATCCCCAGAATCCACATTCCCTAAAGCCCTTTGCCTCTCCCCACCTACTCCTTCCTATCCTCTGCCCTTTCTCTCCACTCATGCACCCAAAAAAAGCCCCTCCTCCCCACCCTGGATACTCCTAATACCTCCTCTCCACCCTGGGGACTCCTAATGCCTCCTCTCCACCCTGAAGACCCCTGACACCTCCTCCCCTCCCCTGGAGATTCCTGACCTCTCCTCCCCACCCTGGAGACCCCCTAGTCCCTCCTCCCTACTCTGAAGACTCCCTAGCCCCTCCTCCCCACCCTGGGGACCCGTAACACCTCCTCCCCCCCCTGGAGACCCTGACACCTCCTCCCCACTCTGAAGACTCCCTAGCCCCTCCTCCCCACCCTGGGGACCCCAACCTCTCCTCCCCACCCTGAAGATGCCTAACACTTCTTCCCTACCCTGAGGATCCCCCAAGACCTTGACATACCTGTTACCAGAAGAACTTTTAAAATCATGATTGAAGAATAAGACCCTAGAAGATGTGGGAACTACGGGCTTGCAGGCACCGCAGAGAGATACTGAGGAAGCCACCAAGGCCAGGAGGGGTGAAAATAGAGAAGTAAGAGGCAAAAGCGATGAGCGGTTCAAAGAGGGAGGGCGGAGGCCTGCAAGCACCCAGCCCTGTTTAGCCTTCCTCTGGGGCAGTGTAGCCTGCTCGTCCTTGCAACCCTGTTTCCTGGCCCAAACTTTTAAAGTCACCACCCAAAGGTCACCAATTGACACTCATTTCCCCCTCAAATATTATGAAAAATAAGCTAGGTAGATGACTCAGCATTTAGTACAGGCTGCTCTGATAAAGGACCCCCATTTGCATGACTGGTTCCCAGGACACACATGTAGGCTCAAAATTGTCTATAGCTCCAATCCTAGGAGATCCAACACCCTTCTGACCTCCACTGGCACTGAACATACATGGAGCACAGACAGGCCCGCAGATAAAACAACCACACACATGAAATAAAATAAATAAATCTCTTTTTAAAATAGCCAAGAGTTGGTTCAGCAAGGTGGCTCAGTAAATAAAGGGACTTGCCATTAAACACTGAACAAATGCTTGAGTATTACTATAAGTGAGGTATTTACTCATTCCTGTCTTGTTGGGTACGCATTTTATTCTATGATGTTGATCTTTAAAACAGTGGTTTCTCCTACTTCCCTGGTAGAGGAGACTTCATGATCAGGAAGGTAGTTTTCCCAGGGCGAGGCTCACCCATTGCACTTGGGCTATGCTGAGTCCTGTGAGTTCCCCAAATGCAAGGAACTTGACTGTATCTCTTGTGTTAGTGGGAGACTGCATTCACACTTTCTCTTGGCCAAAAACAAAAACAAAAAAAAAGAACGAAATAAAACAGTGCTTTGCTCTTTGGGGTTTCCTTATTTTTGTTTCTGATTTGTCTACAGCTATTGATTTATTTGTAACCCGTGTGTGTGTGTGTGTGTGTGTGTGTGTGTGTGTGTGTGTGTGTGTGTGTGTGTGTTGAATGCTGGTGTGTTTTACTGTGTATGTATGAAGGTCAGAGTACAACTTGTTAGGGTCAGTTCTCTCCATCCACCATGTGGGTCGTCTCAGGGATCAAACTCAGGTCATCAGGCTCAGTGACATCTCATGGATGTTGTTCTGTTTTCTTGAAACGCATTTTTAATCTGCTGTTCAAGCTGATCTTGGCCTCACTGATTCAAGTGATCCACCTGCCTTAGCCCCCCAAGTGCTAGAGCTGTGGACACACACTGCTGTGCTCAGCTTTCTTCACTTTTGGCACATTTTCTTTTGTTCCTAGTTATATTTCCAGTAGCCAGATGGAATAGATGTTTTCTTCCTGGTTAAAAATAAATAAAAATTCTATATACTTTGTTTCAAAGCTATTCACACACTAATACACACAGAGGGAGAGAGAGAGAGAGAGAGAGATTGAGAAAACAGCTCAGTAAAAGCTGGGCATGGCTATACCTGCCTGTAACCCCAGCACTGAGGACAGGCACAGGCAAACTCTAGGACTCATTGGCCATCAGTCTAGCTAGTCAATGAGTTTCCACACTCAGTGAAAGACCCTGTCTCAATAAGGTGGAGAGTGAGGGAGGCAGCTGAGAACTCCAACCTCTGGCCTAAGCATGAATACACCTGCATGTATGTACACACACATACATGCACACACCCACACAAATAGGTACATACACCATATATGCTTATATGCACAAAAAAATTAAAATGTAAGGTGGCACACATCTGTAATCTCAGTATTCAGAGGCCTCAAATTTATGATCCTCCCCTTTCGGCCTCCCAACTGCTAGAATTATAGCTGTGGTCATCAAGCCTAGCTTGTACTTAAAACTTTCATACAGAGAGACAGACAGACAGACAGACACAGACACAGACAGAGAGACAGACAGAGATAGGGAGAGAGAGAGATGACTTTTATAATCAGAAAAAAACTGTAGCTAATTTAAAGTGGCAAAGGTGACTCTTGTTAGCAGGTAAAGGCTGAGGAAAAGAGGAACAAGTGTGAGGAGCTGAGAGAGAGTTGCCTACGGAATGTGGGGACATGTGTTGGTCAGACTCTTTGTTCATCGTGAGCAAATACCTGACAGAGACAGCCTGGGGAGGAAACATCTATTGACTCAATGTCTCAGAGGTTCCAACGTCCGCTGTTACTTGGCTCTGTTTCTGGATCCTGCTAAGGTCAAACATGGCAGAAAGAGTGTGTGGCAGAGAACATTCAGCTCACAGCGTACAACAGAGTGAGGAAGGGACTGGGGGCCAGATGCAAACTTCCGATACCCACCCACTGCAATGGGGAATCTTCAAAAGTGTCAATTTGATGGGATCTGGAATCTACTAAGAGCCTGCTCACTGCCTTTCTACACACTTACACAGTCCAGGGCCCAGCTCAGAAACACACACACACACACACACACACACACACACACACACACGCACACACGCACACACGCGCGCGCGCACACACGCACGCGCACACACACACGCACGCACACACACGCACACAGGCATGCTTGTTTCACATCAGTTGGCAATCGAGGTACTCACCCACAGGCACATCCACAGATCAACTCAACTGAAGCTTTCTGATCATGTGATTCTAGGTTGTGACATTTAAGACCAGCCACCTCAGAGGCTGGAGCGATGGCTCAGCAGTTAAGAGCATTTGTGGCTCTTGCAGAGGACAGGGTTCAATCGCCAGCACCCACATGGCAGCTCACAACCATCTGTAAGCCAGTTCCAGGGGATCCATCAACCTCTTCTGGCTTCTAGGGGCACTAGGCACCAGGTGTGCAGATACATGTGCAGACAGAATGCCCATACACAGTGGAAAGAAACATCACAGTCACCATCAGGTGTAGGGGTGCCCCAACCAGATGACTGCGGATAGGTTGCCAGCTCAAGCCTCCCACGCCCACTCTTTCTCCTTCTCTTTCCCATGACTGAGCATCTAACAGGCACAAATAACATGCTTAGAAGAGTGGGATGTGGGCAAGAGGAAAGGCTCTGAGAAAGTTACTTCTGGAGAAAACTAGAGGTCAGAACACTGGGACACTCGGGAACCTCAGTTGCCACCCTACTGCATACTCACATTAGCTATTGATTGAAGGGTTGTTTGTGAGAAATCCTCAACTCAGACCCCGCCTGCCTTCACCCAAATAGAGCAGGCTCCAATGGTTGCAGAATACGCTCAGGTAAGTAGTTGATGGTTCTCCTGCAAGGCCAGTTTGCATGACAACATCACATGCTGAAGGGACTTGGATGGGGCAAACACAGCATCTGCTACAGATGTGCATTTTTTTCACAGATTTCCAGATCCAGGGGAATCTGGCATGTCTGACCTCTGGGGGCTTTGACTAAAAATGTTCTCCATAGTCCCATAGAGAGTGGCACTATTAGGAGGTGTGGCCTTGTTGGAGGCAGTGTGTCACTGGGGTGGGCTTTGAGGTCTCAGATGCTCAAGCCACACCCAGTGAGGCAGTCTGCTGTGAAATAACCCTTCTGCACATTGTGAATATGTGTTACTCTCACTGGTTATGAAAGCTGACAGGCTGCTAGCCAGGCAGGAAGTATAGGCAGGACAGCCAGAAACAGAGGACTCTGGTAAGAAGGGCAGAGTCAGAGGAGACACCAGTCAGCCACCAAGGAAGCAGGGTGTGTAGAAAATGAGGTAACAAGCCATGAGTAAAAATAAGAAATATGTGTTAATTCACAGGTAAGAGTTAGCTAGTAATAAGCCTAAGCTATCGTTTGAGCATTTACAATTCATATAAACCTCTGTGTGGTAATTTAGAAGCAGCTGCTGGGATGGGAAACTGCCTACAGCAGTTTTCTTCCTGCTGCCTGAGAATCAAGATGTAGAAGTCTCAGCTCCTTCTCCAGCACCATGTCTGCCTGCATGCCACCATGCTTCCTGCCATGACTATAATGGAGTAAACCTCTGAACTGTAAGCCAATTAAATGTTTTCCTTTATAAAATTTGTGGTGGTCATAGTGTCTCTTCACAGCAATAAAACCCTAACTAACACCCCATACATACAATTAAAATAATAGAAATAAATCTTCAAAAAATTATTTTTTGAAAGTTGAGCCAAGCATGATGGTTCACATCTTTAATCCCAGCACTCAGGAAGCAGAGGCAGGTGGCTCTCTGATTTTGAGGCCAGCCTGGTCTACAGAGTGAGTTCCAGGACAGCCAGGAATACACAGAGAAACCCTGTCTCGAAGAAAAAGAAAACTGGGTATGGTAGCTCACATAAGGAGGCAGAGGCAGGCAAATTTTTGTGAGTTTAAGGCCAGCCTGTATAATGACATGGAGACTTACTATTAAGTATCAAAGCTTGGCCTTAGTTTAGGCTTGTTTCAACTAGCTCTTATAACTCAAATTAACCCACTTATATTAATCTACTGTTGTGCCCAAACTCTGAACCCCAATACCACCAAGAGACCCCCATCTGATGCAAAAGCAAAGAGTCATTAATTTATTAACGAGTTAATTGTACTAACTGGGTTCTTCCATCTGTCCAACACAGCCAGTGGAGTCAGAAGGACCTGCAGGGATCATGATGGGGCCGGGAATATATTGGGGTAGAGCAAGGGGAGTGTCTGGGGTCCACAACAGTCTCAGGATTGCTGCAATTCCGGGTTTGGGCAACCTGTCCTGAGTTGATTGGTCAGCTGCAGCTGCAGGCAGGTTGCTACGGCCTATAGGCCCACCCAGGGCCTCTGCCTGATTGGTTCCTTGCCACAGGGAGAGTATCTCTGGCTTCCTAGTGACTAGAAGGTCAGGCAAGGTCAGGGGCTCAGCACTCTTTGCTGAGTCAGCGGCCTACCTCTTGTTGGGTCTTTTCTGCAGCCTGTCATGGCTGCCAAAGCAGGGGCTGGTGAGGGTCTGGGCCCTTCACCACTTTCTACCACAAATTACCTCTCCGCAGAACGGTAAGTCCCGGTCTGGCTGGTGAATCCCTGCCCCTCAGATTCTTCCCCTGAGTTCCTCTCTCTCCCTGGAAGTCCTGTCTATCCTGCCTAGCTACTGGCCATTCAGCTCTTTATTAAACCAATCAGAAGGTGCCTTAGGCAGACGAAGAAGAAGGGCAGGCACATCTTCATACAGTGTGATCAAATATCCTGCAACACAGCCTGGTCTACATAGGGATTCCAGGCTAGCCAGGGCTACATAATGAAACTAAATTTTTACAAAAGGAAGGAAAGGAAAGACAAGTGATCAGACGTCAATATATGCACTGTGGGGTTCCAGAGGAGAGAATCAAGAAAGGCACAGAAAATGAATTTTAATTAAAAAAAAAAAAGAAAAGAAAGGGTCTGGGCATAGTGGTTCACACCTATAATCCCAGACAGAACTTGGAAAGTTGACAGGGAATCTCCATATGTTAGAGGCTAGCCTGGGCTACAGAGTTGAGACACTTTCTCATTAGAAATGGGGGGGGGGGAGACTCCTTAACCTCTTGGCAGCTGCTCTTGGCTGGAAACTCTCCATAACCTAAGACAGCAAGATGGTGGCCACCAAGAAGACAAAAAAAAGTTTCTGGAATCACCAACTGTAAGCTCCAACTTACCATGAAAAGTGATAGGAAAGCTGTGAAGAATAACAGGGCAGAGCAAAGTGTGTCATTCTCACCAACAATGTGTCTGCTGTGAGGACTTCTGAAACAGAATACTACACCACATTGGCCAGAACTGGCATGCATCACTCAGTGGCGATGATACTAAATTGGGCACAAAACAAGGAAAACTCAACAGTGTGCACACTGGCTGTCACTGATCTGGTGATCCTGGTATTATTAGAAGCACACCAG